TGTAGGCTTGGTTGCACCGCGCGTCCCCCAGGAGGGTCTGGAGGGCGACATGAGGCTGCGTTGGAGCTCTGCGGAGGGCCGGCTCTGGAGCCACCTCTCTCACTCTAGGCCTTTGCAATCACCCCTCCTACTCTCTGTGTTGGGGGCACAGTAAGGTGTTTATCATTACTCCCCTAACTTTGCACCTTACGTTATATCCGTCCCTTCAGTTAGGGACAGGCTGGTCCCTTCTAAGATACGTGGTCTGAGTCACAAACCTATGCCTGCATTCATAGCTACAAATGCAAAGGAGAGGGTGTGTTCTACCACATGGTCCCTTTCTCTGTTTTAAATACACATCTCATAAGAACTTAGGCTTTACATTCAGAAACGAGATGCACAACAACCTGTAAGAGGCCCCTGCTCCCTTGAAAGCAGCTTTTAAACAAGAATGGGCACTGCTGGCAGGTATTAATGATACATACTTCGGATTAGAAGAGGAATGCTATTTTTTGCCCTATACTGATAGAAGATGAGAGCAGGGGATGTTGGTGTTACCAAGAAGTGGAGAGTAGTAGTAGACTAGTATTAATAATTACTATTCTTCCTGCAAACTGTATGCCTACTGTGGCAGTGATGGATTGCCCTTATTCAGCAGCCAGAAATTCTCAAAGCCTAAACAGGGGCCTCGCAGCATCAGCATCACTTAGGACCAGACGGAAATACAAATTCCTGGGCATTTTTAAACCTAAAGTTATGGACCCAGAGGTCTATGTCTCACGAGCCCTCCGGGTAATTCTGAGGCATGCTAACAGCCGAGAACCACTGGCCCGGGCTGCTGTGCAAGGCTGATCCTGTGTGAGTCACAGAGCTTTCCCTGCAGGATTTTACAGTTTACCAATCTCTTTCACACTCACTAGGCCATTCTGGCCTCACTTCAGTCCTACTAGTCTGTGAGTTTCCTGACTCTGTTAAGCCTTTCCCACATTCCAATGCCTTATTTTGATGTGTATCCTAAAAGAGACCTAGTTGTTAAGAATTTACTACAGTCAGGGAGCCACTTTCTAAACTAAGCCGCTCCATTTTTAGAAAATTGGAATTTAGAATGGGCTGGGAATGCAAAAACACCCCCCATATCCACTACACAGTATCAGGCACAATTTGGGAATGCAAAGCTATAAGCCTTTCGAATTTTCAATGGTGAGGAATGGCAGAGTGCCAGAGCAGATCGTGGGTAGGACTAGGCAGCGGGTGGGGGCAGGTTCCCTTGGTACAAAGGAGAGGAACATACTGCTCTCTGCCTGAGCTGAGAGAAGTGCAGAAGCCCCACAAACCCTTTCTCTGTTTTAAATACACATCTCAGAGAAAGGGGTGGCAAGAGTGTGGAGCACACAGTGGGCCCCCTGACCCATGTTCATGAACTGACTCCAAGTTGAAGAAAAGAAGAATCGGTTCTTCAGGCCTGAGAGATGGCTCAGCAGTTAAGAGTGCTGGATGCTCCTACAGAGAACCTGGATTTGATTCCCAGCACCCACATAGCAGCTAACAATGGTCTGTAAATCCAGTCCCAAGGGATCCACCCTCTGGCCACCCTCTTCTAGTCTACCTGGCACCAGGTACAGACATGGTACACAGTCATACGTGCAGGAAAACACTCATACATACAAAAATAAAGTAAATAAATACATAACAAAAACTTAAAAGATCCTTCAGGAAACAGAAAACATCTTAAAATTTGAAAACATCTTATATCTCATTTCACTACCAAATCAATGTTCACCTTAAGTTTGGTTTTATTTGTTTGAGGCAGCTCAGTCTAGCCTCTAACTTGTGATCAGTCTCTAACTCCTGGCTCAGCCTCCCAAAGGTTAAGACTACAAGCATTTGGCTTGTTTGATTATTATGTTATCATGTACTTAACACATGATGTCCAAGGTGTGAAACTCATCAATGGAAAGTCTTTGGTGTTTTTCATAAAATCCACTTTGTTTTCCTTCTTTTGGGGGTGTGCTATTGGAAATTAAACCCAGAGACTCACACCCACCAAGCTTGAATTCTCCCCTAAACTACACCTCCATCCCTAAACCATGTCTAACTTTCCTAGTTATTTGGAAACTGGGATAATGGCTATCTAACTTTTGGAGTGTTGTCTAGCATTTAGACACCACCTGACACAGGATTAAAGGTCATGGCTTCTATCACAGATGTCATCCAGTTTCTAGATGATTCCATAAAATTCAAACCTGTCCAAGCCATTTCTGAATTTCACAAGAGAACATACTACATAATAATTCTGCTACTTCAAAGGAAATTTGGAAGTGACGTCATTGGAGAGACTGGATGATGGGCAAAGGCTGTTTTGAAGTCAGTGGCAGATTTTCATTGGCCAGAGTAAACAAATAAACAAATAAGTACTTGAGATTTATACAACTCAAAAGTATTTTGGCTGATTGAAATTCTGCTTAAAGGACTGAATCGATCATCCTATTGTTCTCCCTCGCTTTGAGAAAATACAAGCACAAACTATATGTTTATATGTAAGATATGACAAACATTTGCAGACTCACAAAGCAAGAGTCTGTATTTGGCATATAGGAATAGAATTTTCCCTTTTGTTTTGACACATCTAATTATTATAAGTATGATGTAGTGGGAAGAATGCTAGTCTTACGTCAAAAATTTTATGGGAGAATTCTGGTTCTGTTTTGGACAACCAAATCAATGAACCTCTTTAACCCAAGTTCTTCTCAACTGTGAATCAAAGGGTTGTGACATGTCTGCCCACATTGCTTTTGTGACCAGCCAAGGGGACAGTTCTTATGAAATGCCTGTGCTGAACACATGGTTGATGTCAGTAAATCCCAATGAAGCAAGTAATGGGCCCACACCCCTAGGTTGTAGGGGCAGGATTGACCTACTAAGCATGTTCTTCGAATAGAAATCTCAATTAGAATAATAAACAAAGTCATCCCTCACTACATTTGCTAACCTGAATATATATATGAGTGTTCCAGAATCCTGTGTCCTTGTCAACACCCAGGTCAGTTTGGTGAACTGATGCTTTTTCCTGTGGAGGACAAAGTGCGAAAATGCCCAGGTAAGTCTAGAGTGGGTGAGTTTTCCTTCTCTCTATAAAAGCAGGTCTGAGAAATAAGAGGTTTCTCTTTTCCTTAACAGTGAGAGACTTGTAGAGTGTCCCAGAAAATTATTAAATATTATTTTTTACTCTGTTGGGAGTTAGGAATCTGTTTTAAACCTTCAGGTTTTTCTCCCCTTTTGGTAGATAGAGTCTCAGGTAGTTGAGGCTGGTCTCTAACTCACTATTGTAGCCAAAGATACTTTGAACTTCTGATCCTCTTGTCTTCACCTCCCTAGACATCCATTTTAAAATATTTAAGCATCAAATGGATGAGGAACTGTCAAGTTGTTGGAGAGCTATTTTAAGATTTAGCATACTGAGTAGAACACTCAGGACTAGTTATAATTTTTATCACTGTATTTTGATAGTAATGTCATTGCACATATTCCTTTGTTAATGTAGTTTTCTTCTTCCTTTTCTGTTGTAGATTAACACTTCCCTTCAGTGATGTCATGCAAAGAAATCAACTTCTTTTGCATTAGGAGGAGTAAACTATACAAATAACCATCGAAGAGATTGGCTGAAGTGCTGGTGATGTCACAATCCCACCACCTAAGCCTACGGTTCTTACTGGCTTTTTTAAGAGGACGGGAGCACTGGGAAGGTTCTACATTACTCCACAATTGCTGAAAGCTCTGAGCTTAAACTAAATTTTACCTTTTTTTCCTGTTTTTCTTAAAATGTGCCCAGAGCCTTTTTACATGTTATTACATTTCTCACATTATTCCATGTTATTGCTTAGTTGTATTCTCTAGGTCACTGTAACCATTTTGAATAATTTCTTTACAACCTATCAAATAAATCTCTCATGGTTCAATCACTAGCCAGTTTATTTTTAGATACTGAGAATTGTTTCAGTTTATTGCTTTTAGCTGAAATTCCTATAAGTATACATAAACTATATGTGTGTGTGCACATTATATAATTTTCTCCAGGGCACAGACCCTCTTATAGTTAACTGACTGTATATTCCAAAGAAGGCAAACCCATTGCTCTCACAATAGCCTGGAGATCCCATTGTGTGTCTCACTCTCAGAGCTGGAGTGTTTCAGCAGAAGGCTGAAAGTCTATGTGTCTTGCTTCAGGTGAGATTCATAGTCTTTATTTTGAAAGCTGGATATTCCTCAGTAATGGGAAAAAAAAGTCATGATAATCACACGACCAGAGAAGGTCTGTGAAGCACAAACATTGGCTGAACAGCTCTGTGAAAAAGCTAGGATGGTAAAATGGCTCTCTCATCTCTATAGAGAATCCACACACATTTCTAGACAACCAGTTTCTTAAAGCTTAAAATTCTAGACCTCAAAACAAAAGAAAAAGGGGCTAAGGAGACAGTTCATGTGCTTGTCACATAAAAAGCCAGATCTGATAGCATGTGCTGAGGAGGCAAAGACCAGAGGATACCTGCAGCTTGTTTGACAGCCAGCCTTGACAGATCAGTGAGCTCCAGGTTCAGTGAGAGACCCTGTTCCAAAAAACAAGGTGAAGAGTCCAGTGAACAGGGCCTGTGCAATGCCTGTGCCCGTCTCATGGCTTATGCCGGTAACCTGAATGAAGCGAGCTGAATGAGCAAGATGGCTCAGTGGGTAAGGACACTTGGTGCCAAGCCTAACGACCAGAGTTCAATTCCCAGAACTCACATGGTGGAAGGAGAGAACCAACTCCTGCAAATCATCCTCCGACCTTCACATGTGTGGTGCAAGCATGCTTGAGTGCACTTGTGCACACACACACACACACAAACACACACACACACACACACACACACACACAGAGAGAGAGAGAGAGAGAGAGAGAGAGAGAGAGAGAGAGAGAGAGAGAGAGAGAGAGCTGTTACTTGTCAGTCCCAGTCAATCCTGGGAACTTTTAAATCCACCTGGAAATCTTTGTCTTAGAGTGAAGTCAGCCCACTCTCTGGTTGCTGCTGGCTCTTTGCAGTTAGGATGCCTGCTTGAGTTCATCGTCCTTTCAGGTGTATTAATCAGAGCCAGCAACTGTCACTTAAATGTACCCACAGTTTTAGGCATTTTGCTATAAATGCTGTGAATAGTTTCTTACTTAATCCTCCCAACAGCCCTGGGAGGTAAGAATTCTCCTTACTCTACAGGAGGAAGCAGCTTGTGGGGCTAAAACACTTAACTTTTCCAAAGCCTAGTCCTCAACCAGTCAACTGTGTCTGAGCCACTTTTGTGACAAAGGGTTTGACGATGATTATTGGTCAACAGTTCAATATGTACATCTATATTTATTCTGATTTTTAATTTTATTTTATGTGCATTTATGTGAGGGTGTCAGGTCCCCTGGAACTGGAGTTACAGACAGTTGTGAGCTGCCTAACATGGGTGCTGGGAACCAGACTTGGGTCCTCTCCTGGAGCAGTATGCACTCTTAACGGCTGAGTCATCTCTCCAGCCCCCATATATCTACATTTATTAAAGTATGTATTTGAAATGCTTATCACTGCAAAGGATTTCCATGTTGTTTGTGGAGGATAAAACAATAAAAGATACTTAAAGTCCAGTTGTGGGAAATGAGGCACAAATCAAATGTGCAGTAACACCAGTTTAAGGTGCAATGTCTGTCAGCTTGCTGAATGGGAGAGATATACTGCAGTCTAGAAAAAAGGGCAGAGTGCTATGACGGATTAAGGACACAGTCATCCATCGCAAGGACTAAAAGATAAAGATGTTACATAGGACAATCCTAATTCCATTAGGTAAGAACCACCTGCAGTGTCATGAAAATAAAATCACTCACTATTTGGGCCTCTTGCATAGTATCAAATTTTTGTAGCTTATTGGTGATAGAAATCTTTTTTCTTTGTTTTAATTCTCTGAGATTACAAGATAGTGTTTCTCAAAGTATGGTCTATGCACTAGTAGCATAAACACTTTGGAACTTAGTTATATATGTAGATTCCCAGGCTTCATTCTTTTGTTCTACAGAATTGGAATTTCTGGAGATGGGATCTGAAAATCTGCTGTTTAGAGACATAGTCCAGGGTGATATTCATACTGAAGTTTGAGAAGCTCTGGGGTAGGGGAAGACTTGGTTGGTCATTCGGCGACTCATTTGTGAATTAAATGACCACTGACTGGATGCCTGGTACACACTGTCATTTCATATGTGAAGCAAACTTTGTCGGGGAGCAGTGTAACTTTTTTTTTCATAGAAGCTGCGGCAGGATCAAATCTTGTCCAAAGCCACCTGTTCAGCTGGGGAGATGGCCAAATCAGTTCTGCTTACTTTCAGTGTCCAGACTTTCCCACAATGCCATATAGTCATTAGACTATATGATAAACATGGTTGCCATTGTGGCAATAATAATGTCTGTCATATGAGTCCCACTGTGTGCTGTGTGATTCAGATCTAAACCTTTCCATAACTTTAAATGGAAAGTTTGTCATGTATGATATTAATATGCAATCTCCAAATAACTTTCCACACATTTGAAAAGAGCCTTCCCCCATTTTTGATGTTTTTAAAATTTATTTAAATTTTTTGTTCATTTTACATAACAACCACAGTTCTCCCTCTCCTCCTCCCTCTCCCCTCGCCTCTCCCCCAACCCATCCTCCCTCCACTCCTCAGAAAGGGTAAGGCCTCCCATGGGGAGTCAACGAAGTTGAGACAGGACCAAGCCCCTCCCCACTGCATCAATGCTGAGCAAGGCATCCCACGTAGGGAATGGGTTCCAAAAAGTTAGCTCATGAACCAGGGATAGATCCTGGTCCCACGGCCCTGGGGCCCCTCAAACAGACCAAGCTACACAACTGTCACCCACATGCAGAGGGCCTGGTTAGGTCCCATGCAGGTTCCCCAGCTGTGGGTCTAGGGTCTGTGAGGTTCTACGACCTCGACCTCGGGTCAGCTATTTCTGTGGGTTTCCCCATCATGACCTTGACTCCACTTGTTTATTTATATAATCTCTTCTCCCTCTCTTCGACTGGACTCCTAGAGTTCAGCCTGGTACTTGGCTGTGGATCTGCTTTCCTCCATTTTTATACTTTCCTAACAGATCCTGAAAATCTAGCTCTGCTAGGTCTTCCTTTATTTGGTAGAGTTTGTCTCAACCCCTCCGGACCCAGTTTGAAATGCAAACCATGCATTAAAGTCTAGCCTTTAGATGCCACACTTTCTTTCAGATATATGAGTGGGGGGATGATATCTGGTTCAAGAAGAAAATGTCAGTTTCTTGAAAAACAACAACAACAACAACAAAAGAGTAACTTCTGATGATCTTCTGACTTACAAAAGACAAATTTAATCCAGGAATCCTCCTCTGGTGGGAGCTGGGATCACACCATCCCCTGTGAGATCTTATTCTGGAGTAAACACACTTGTGTCACACATCATCTTCAGGGAGCATGATAAAGCCCCAGGGCATACCCATGCAGCAGGGGGACTCCACCCTGGCTTGCCTTACAGCTCTCACGAGGGGCCTGTGAGAGAAGATAGCACTCTCTTTCAAGATGAGCTGACACAGTACCGTCTGTTCAGAGGATGGGTTGATAATGCATAGCTAGAGCCACATTGATCCTGTAACCTTCCACCTAGTGATATGTCAGTGAATTTATCTCCAGGAAATAATGCAAAAGAAGAAACTGAGCTCTTTATAGTGGTATTATTTACTGTAATAAAGAAAACCTGAAACAACCCAACTGTCCGAGAACAGAGATGAGTTCTCTGCCATAGCAATGGCAATGGTATGACAGAATGGTTTGTGTGGTGGGGCGGGGAAGGGTCTGCCTTTAGGTAAAATGCTTCAGTGGTTAAGAGTGCTTGCTCCTCTTGCAGAAGATCCAAGTTCAGTTTTTAACATCCACATGGCAGCTCACAGTCACCTGTAACTTCAGTCCCGTCTAAAGTCCTCTTCTGGCCTCCATGGGCACCAGGAACACATAGGGTGCACATACAAGGAGGCAGGCATATGGTGGCGCATGACTTTAATCCCAGCACTCAGGAGGCAGAGGCACTAGGATCTCTGTGAGTTTGAGGCCAGCCTAGTCTACAAAGCAAGTTCCAGGACAGCCAAGACCCTGGTTTTTTGTTTGTTTGTTTGTTTGTTTGTTTGTTTTTTCGAGACAGGGTTTCTCTGTGGCTTTGGAGGCTGTCCTGGAACTAGCTCTTATAGGCCAGGCTGGTCTCGAACTCACAGAGATCCACCTGTCTCTGCCACCTGAGTGCTGGGACTAAAGGTGTGCGCCACCATCGCCGGGCTGAGACCCTGTCTTAAAAACAAAATATAACAAAACAAAACCAAAAACCCCAAAACAAACAAAAACCCAAGCAGTCAAGCATAAAAATACATAAAATTAAATTTTAAAAAGCAATGTGTAAGTAATGTAAAATGACAGCATTAAAGTGCAGCACTGTGTTGAGCTAGGATTAGGGCTTTGGAGCCAGACGAACCTGTGTTGTTAGCTATGTGGGTTTAGACCAACCATTTAATATGACCATCAAATATGGCTAAAAATATCTAAAGTCATTGTAACAAATAATGACATCAACCACATGGATAAAATTTGGGTAAACCATGAATAAGGATAGGGAGTACTAACAAATAATCACCGTTTATGTTCAAATATGGAACTGCTGAAAATTTATTTGAAGTTTTTTTCTCTAATGTCTTTTTTTAAAAGATTTTATTTATTATGTATATAACATTCTGCTTCCATGTATATCTGCACACCAGAAGAGGGCACCAGATCTCATAACGGATGGTTGTGAGCCACCACGTGGTTGCTGGGAATTGAACTCAGGACTTCTGGAAGAGCAGTCAGTACTCTTAACCTCTGAGCCATCTCTCCAGCTCCTTCTCTG